CCCCAAAACCCCAAAACCCCAAAACCCCTTATTAAATATCAGTGCTGAATGTTTAATAGTGGTCTGGGCAATTATGAGCAAAATTTTGTGGTCATCATTTTTATTAAAATCGATTGTCTACTTTTCGGTTCCGTTGACCATTTGTTGAAGATGAGAAGAAGGAATGTGATGCATTTTTTGCGTCTCTAACAGCTTCACAGATATTGATGGCATTAGTTCAGCAGACCTGGAAGAATTATGACTGAATATTAACAAATAATAGTATATGTTATAGCATTAAAGTCTATGCATTAGGCAGAGAAGCAGTATTTCTCCAGCTTTCACAGATACTTGCTTTTGTGACAAAGAATTCTGGATGAAAATTTCATACTTGTTTTTCCATTGTGCATTAGCCAAATAAATAGCATAATCAAGGCGTTAGCATCACGTTGTTCTTAGAGTCAGCCCAGCTCACTCAATAAAGAAAATTGCCGCAATAGTTTTAGAAGAGAATTCTTTCAAAACTCTGAGGTTTGAAATAATGAGTAAGAAGTGGTAAATATTTATGCTAATTCTTAATCATAAAATCTATAAGCCCATCAGACCCTGGGTTATGGTGGATACGACAGTTAAAGAAGATATTGATAAGAAATACGTTTAGAATAAATTCTAATGTTTATGATGATGAGAAGCTGAATTAATAATATTTGAAGTTTTACCACTTTGGAATAAAAGAAATAAAAATTTATCAAAAGATATCATTTAAAACCAACCCATCAAGAGAGAAGAATAATGAAACTTAGGATTATTGAAGTTTTAATAAAACTTAATGAACTGGCTTTGAGAGCTCGAGCACAAGTTCCTGTATACTCAGAAAGCTGAAATACTTCGCTCTAGGTAGAAATCTTCCAGGTAATGGAACGAAACTCATCCTTGTCTCTTAATGTACCAAGTTGGTGCTTAACTTAACTCTTCAATGAAGATATTTACTCTAGGATCATCAAGCTCCTGGACTAGACACCTAGCTAGAGTTTTCAGGTTCTCTGACTCTAGAGCATTGTCAAATCTGGTTCTGGAGAACTGTCTTGTGCATCTTTGGAATGTAGTAATCTGGGTTTTGATGGCCCAACAACATGGTAATTCAGACGCTTTCTTGATCCCTACCATCCCAATGGTGTAATAAACGAGGTCTCTGGTAAAGCTCTCTGGAGGAATCAATTCAGCCATCATGGCATGAACTCTCTCATAAACATGCTCGAGAGTTGACTTTTGGTAGGTCTTCTGGATAATGTCAGGGTTTTGAGTTTTAAAGATATCTCTATAAAACTTCCTGAGAAGTCTGATAGCTGATTTATAAGCGACATCTCTTCTGTTGGAACTAGTCATGCTCTTGATAGAGATTTTCTGAGTAGGAACCACTGGATAATATTTGAGATTGTCTCCAAAAGTACCTTCAACCTCTTCACCATTTCCAGTTTTTCTCAAGTAGCTACCAAAAGCTTTTGGCTGAGATGTATCTCAAACTTCATGAGATGCTTGTTGTACAGAGAGTTTGTCAGTACTTGATCGATCATATTGAGATTGAGGAGAACCCCTTGAAGTGCCAAAGGAAGAGAAAATCTAAAATTTGGTTAGGTTATGTTTTAATAGCAACGAAATATTTATTACTATTTCTTAAACCTATCTATTACACCTTTTAACTCTCAAAATGGTGATAAATAAAGCTCATTTTTAGAAGGCAATCTTACATCATCAGACTCAGTATTAACAATGGCTGCAAACACGCTTCCGGGATGCAAGTAAGAACGATCGTTAATGTCGCAAAGTTCGATATTGTTTGATTTAGATATCATTATTTATTATTTATTATTTAATATTAGTATTTGAACCTGTTTATCAACTAAAACAACAGAGTGGGGTTTTGGGGTTTTGGGGTTTTGGGG